TATATACATATATATATATCTGCTACTTTTTATCGTGTCCTTTTTCTTTTATTATTCAATATTGAATAAAACATTTTTAACTTTTTTGGAAGTTTCAGTAAAACTTTTCAAAAATTTAAATCACTAAAGGGAATAAAAATTTTTTACAACTTGATTTATAATACACGTGAAAAAAAAGTCTTTCCTTGATTTTCAATGTATAGTGATTGATCCTTTTTACCACATCCTGGAATAATTCGCTATTTGCGTGTCACACACAAGCAATAGAAACTTGTTTTTCTTGTTTTTTTTTTATATATATATATACATTTCAAAATTTCTCGTCAGACTTGGCCAATTTAACCTCAGGCTGGTATATATATATTCTAACAGCAAAAATAACAGGTGTTCTTTCCTGTCTTTTGAGCATCGTACATAAATATGCGGTTTTTGCACATTGTGCATAAGAATGTTACTAATATTCTCTTTTCTTCTCAAATGTTACAGTTGCAAAGAGTACAATTTACGAAATACAAAAGTACCACATTTTACATCCAGAAGGTGATACAAAATAAAAAAAAAAAATATATATACTGTCCTTATAATATTTGGAAAATTTTAATATTTATATTTAACAACGCAAGAAAAGTTTGATAATGTTTTGTTTTCAATGTAATTTTAATAATTTTTGTATATTTATTTTTTGTAAAATACAAAAAAAAAAATTAATTAAAAATCTTAAAAAAAAGTTATTTTAAAACACTAAATTGGTAAAAGATGTGGTGCAAATTGAAATTTGACGAAATGAATTGAGTGACTGATGTGTTTATTAAATTTGTGACGTCAGGCCAAAAGATCATATCGATTGCACACGTCTGGACCAAATCTTAATCGATGAGTCATTCGATAATTCAGTTTGAGATTCATTAGAATTTATATCAAAATTACCAATTTTTGTATGCATAGGAAACATGCGGGAAAAAAATATTTACCTAAAACAGCGAAAGGTTTCACTAGAATAGCGAAAGATTTAAGGCGGTAAATCACATTACGACGCTGTTTTTTTGGGGATTTTTTTCAAAAGAAATAAATTTTTTTAAATGAAATGCAAGAATGACATTATGTTGCACATATATTTATCTGTGTCTCACAATTTTTTTAAGCATTTTTATTAAAAACATTCCAAGTTCGCAGCCATTAAACCTGAAGCTGTGCCGTCTAAGTTTATGATTGCTGTGCAAGGTGGAGTCCACAAATTTGATCTAAAAGCAAAAAAAAAAATGAAGGTTATTCACATTTTATACAAATTTTATTATCAATTGAAATAACTTTTAAGTGAAAATATTGAAAAATTGACACTACTTTTGAAGTTAATGTTTGATTTTTGGCATATTTTTTTGCGTCTTTGAGATTAAAAAAGAAGGTATTAACATTTTGAGCTATCCTGCACAGCAATTTCAAAAATCCTGTTTTGAGAAAAACGCGTGTTTACACTTTAATCTGCTATTCCTGCACCATACTTTAGTCCTTCCTCTTCTTCATAAGTCAAATCATAAATTCACAAAGAGACTTCCTCGCAGCGACGCCGTTACCAAACTGCTTTGCTACTCGGAGCAAGCTTTATTCATTGCCTGTAGCACAGAGAGGACCCCGAATTTCGCTGTAAAAACTTTTTCAACATACTTTTGAATACATATAAGCTGACTATTTATGCAAAAAAAAACCCCCCCTTAACTGAAACAAATAAAACTTTTGCTATTATAGTGAAAAGTTTCGCTGTTCCAAGCTTTTTTAAAATTTAAATCATTTTGTCTTTAAATTTAGTAGACAAAAATAAGTTCGACTAAAACTTTGATTCTTATTTTATCTTATTTTGAGATTTAAGTTTTACACACCGCAAAGATAAATAGTAAAGAATGTATCAATTGTGAGGGCGATAAAAAAGAAATAAAATCCTTCTACAATCTTATAACAGTATAAAAATCAACTTATACATATAGAATATAGTCGCGATAACAGACGATGATATTTGAGATGAATATAAGACCAATATTCATATTATGATGAACTGCAGCCATGGCATGTATCATGTTATAATAATAATAATAATAATAACATAAAATGCTTACAGTAATTATTGTGGCTACGTTGTGGCAGTTTCATCAACGAGAATTCTCAGAAGTTCATATCACGAAACGGAAATGAGGAAGAGGTGTGCGTGCGTGCATAAGTCAATGGTTCGGTTTCGGTACCTTGATTTTTTTTACAGATGCGCGCAAAAAAAAATTCCGTTTCTAATTTCAAGTCTGATACATAGTTATTATATACAGATACAAAAGAAATGCCATAATTTAAAAAAATTGAATTAGAAAAAATTTACAGTTAGACTTTTTATGTTCATTTGCGTAAGTTTATAATGTTTCAATTTTTAAAACCATTAAATTAAATGTTAAAAAAGAAAATACGTTAAAAATAAATCCTTTTCAATGATACACTGCCATGATGTGATTTGACAAATCATGTAATGTGTGAGTAACAAAATGGCGACTAAAGAGAGACTCTAACGCCCGTCAACAGGACAGAAGAGAACCAAATGGAACCGTAGGGGATTCCCCCGATCCGTTGCTGTTTTCCACCCACCAAACTCACTCCTCTCTCTCTCTCTCTCTTTCTCTCCCTTTCTCTCTCCTGGCAACCCCCTCTCATTGACTCTTTCTCCTCCACCCTTTCCATTCTACCTTTTCGTTCCATCTCATTCCCTCACACTCATATTCACGACCTCTTTTTCATCTATAACGCACGGCCTTTCTCTATATAATACCTGCCGCAATGAAAAGGTGGTACGATTGGCGTCGCGACGCCGCGCGCACCTGACCCTATCCCTTGTGTTGTCTATGCGAGGTGGCCATTTTCATTTTTAAAACGTTCACGAGTTCCCAGTGGGCGTTTCTATACTTCCTCCAACGCTACCATTGGCTCTCATAATGCCTAATATATCATGTCATAAGAAGCTGAGAAAATATTGTCCTCGGCTAACATTCTATATAAACGCACCACTACTGATGATTCTGATCGATAACGCGACTGGGATTGGTCGCGATCCTTGTTTAGGGACAAGAGTTTTCCGGGCAATCACAACAAAAACCTCAATGACTGTTGAGATTTTCTATAAGCACGTGCTTTTTGTATTATTTATATACTTGATATTTTTTTTTCTATTAGCGTTAGTATCTCTAACGTGAAAATGTTTCAACTTAAGAATTTTCATCTACTAAACATAAAACGCATACGATTGTTTTCTTTTTTTTTTTTTTTTGAATTCATTAAATTCACATGTCCGCCATTTTGTAATAAATTCTCACCTGAGTTGCAACAATTTCCCCGCAAGAGCGCTAGTATCGCTATAACTAAGCACGAGACGGGTTGTTCCCACTCGTCATTTGTCATAATTTTCTTCAACTACCGCACCCTGCTCTTGTGAAAATTTAGTAACTTTTAATTTTAACCACTTAATTTTCACTAGAGCAGGGAGCGGTAGTTAACGAGAATTATGATGAGTAGGGACTTTATTATTATTATTATTATTTCTTTATTAGTGAAAACAATTTCCATCTATGGATGACCCTATATATTCCCACCATTTCTGCCAGACTTTTCTACCATACATTTGGAGGTTAGGATCTACTTTACATGACTCTAAAGTTCCTACCGTTATATGATTGATAAGCTGATTGGATCATTTTTTCATACTTAATGATAAATTACTATAGTTAAGTAAACAGTAAAAAGATACAATTATAAGGAATCGGTTTATATTTGAAATCAACTATTTTTTAATTAAATATGGGCTAAGCTTTTAGATAACTATTTATTTATTCTTTCTAAAAGTTACATTTATTTTTCTTTTGAATTTACTATATAGTATAGATATTGGTAAATTAAATTTAAAATTATTAGATATATTTTTTAAAGTAAAAAATGTTTAAAGTAAAAAGGTTCATTATTTACAAAAACAAAAAATAATTTGCATTTTTTAATATCTTCCACATATTTTTAACTAATTATTGCTTATATTCTCTATTAAAATTAAATAGTAATAAATATTTTAGAAATTTTTAATTGCTATTAACCGGCCCCTCAATTCATAAATAAAATAATTCAATAAATGATAAAAACAATAATAGAAAACATTTTAACTGTCAATGTTCCCCAATCTCTATTTCCAGGCAACTTTATCAAATGTAGATTTTCTTTTTATAATTAAATTCTGACTTTATGATGAAAAAATGACAATGGAATTAGACAGTAACTCAAACTTTTTTTGAGGTTAACTTTACAATACACAAAATCATGACCAAATAGTAATCACCGAATCTGCAAAAATTAAATATTAAAAATTGCTTTAATTTAAAAAAGTGGATAGTAAATCAACCTTTTTTTTGAGGTTAACTTTTTACAATACACAAAATCACGACCAAATAGGAATTACCAAATCTGCAAAAATGAAAATTTTAAAAATTTATTTAATTAATAAAAGTGGACAGCAACTCAACCTTTTTTTTGAGGTTAACTTTACAATACACAAAATCACGAGCAAATAGTAAAATCTGCAAAAATGAAAATAAATTTTTTATAATATTATTTCGACTTACCTCGTTTGTTTCGTTCGTATGGTATTTAATAAAACCAACTGAACTTCTTCTAAAGTGAACACAGTGTTGCCAACCTATATCAGAATTCTATAAAAGTCCCTATATATATATTCATTCTTCGTTGTTTCAAAATTATGTATATTTCACATGTAAGGAGTCTCACGAAAGAGCGCGAAAATTCAAAATTTAATTCTCGAAAAAAAGAAACACAAAATTAATTTCAAAAAATTTTAATGAATTTTGTATATTTAATAACTATTATAAATAAAAATTTATAATATTTTATAGAGTATGGTAAAAAATATCATTAAGTCCTGGAAAATCTAATGGTGAAATACTAAAAATTTTTCTTTTCTTTTTTTGTTTCAGATAGTGGAATTGATTTGCTGTTTACGCACAGTATAGAATTTTTAAAGCACTTTTGTTATTCCTGGGACAGATTGCATCTGACGTTAATGTACGTTATTTTAAAAGACTCTAAGATGAATATGGAAGAAGCGGCAAAGAAAATCGAAGATGGTGAGTTTTAATCTTTTTCTTATTAAAATTTTATTATTCAAGTAATTTTTCTAAAATTAAATAAAAAAAAAAACATAAATTAAAACAAGTTTACACTGTACTTTTAATACAGTCTATATGTTTAACTATGATAAAAGTTCAAGTATTCTTTATCAGTTACGTAAAAAAAATGCAATTGTTATACTTCCTCATTGATAAAAAGAGAATATTATTGTTTAAAGAAAAAAATTTAATATATTTCCAAAAGTTTCAATTTTTTTTTATATTACAAAAAAGATATACATAAAATAACTTAAATGTCAAGTTTTTCAAAAATCTAATTAATTAAAAATTATTCTAATTAATAATAATAATGAATTTTATCAAGACAAATTTTTTTTTGGTAATGAAGCAAAACTTTTATTTATTTTTAATAAAAATAATATTTTCTTTCTTCTTCAGCTGTAAACGGTATCTCTTGTAAGATTACTTATTTCCATCATCATATAATATATTAAATTTCTAGTCAATTCAATTAAAATTCTAGTCAAAGAAAAAAAAAAGACGCTTTTAGAAATTCAAATAACTGTGATAAATTCTATTTTTCTTTATAAAAATTAATTTATTTCAACAAAATATTTTTAAACTTACATTCAGTATTTAAGAGACAAAAAAGTGAGAGATTTTTTGATAAATTAATTTACAATATTTTTATAAAAAAAAAAATTTTTTTAAATATACAACACTGAAGATAAAAAAAATACCATGGCACATCGAACAAATTCCCTGAAGATCATCACTGAAGATTAAAATTACAATTATCACCAGAAGACAAAGAAAAATTAATCGACTGGCACAAAATACATATAGTCAACGGGAATGATTTTTTTTTATTTAGATAAAAATTTTGTTAATATGTAAATAATTATTTGTTTACTATATATATATATATTAGTCCGCGCAAGAATTTTTTAAATATGCCGCGTTCTTGAGACGGTAAAAAGTTCCTAAAATCAAAAAAAAAAAAAAAATTAATCCGAGTAGAAATTCTAATTTTCTATAAACAAAATTGAAAAATAATTTTTTCTTTAACAAGAAAAAAGGAACATCGTTGGAATTATCTCTTTTTGACATTTAAACTAATGTAAAAATTGGGAAATTGCCAATAAAGACTTATTTACAGACATAAAATTATTTGCATATTTTCCGAGTATATGAGACGTATATAAGAATTATAAATAAATTTTCTTAATTTAATATTCTAAAATAAATATTTGATAAAAATTGATTTTTTTTTATCATTTTTTTTTCCGTTGCCTTTTAGTAACATTTTATAAATTTTAAAATCGCGGAAAATAATTTTCAGAAAACTCAAGGAAAATGTAGTTTTTTTTTTTTTTTGTTAAAAAAGAAAAAATATATTATTTCGCGGAGCAAAAGGTAAACTTGTCGCACGAAAAAGGCATAAAAATGAAGTAACATTTGTCGATTTCATCTAATATCGCGTTTCTATATATTGGCTATATATATATATATATATATATATATATATATGATGCTTCTAGAGGAAAAATCGAGGGTAAAATATATAGTAAAGTTTTAGTCGTAATCTATACGATGATCGGGACATGTGGAAACGACATGAACAAGACCACGCAAGCTAACCATAAATGATTTTAACGACAGTTTTGAAATGTGGTCATAACAAATCTATGTGCTTACTCCACAAAATTAAAAACTATAACATTTTTTTTTTTAATTTGTTAATTTATATTCTTTTTCTATTATCATTTTATTGATTTTGAAATATTAATTTTTATTTCAATAATTAATTAATAAAAATATTTCGTCAATTTTATAAAAAAAATTTTTACATTTTTTTTTACTCAACTATATATATATATATATATTAGGCGTGAAAAAGGATGATGCTTAATAATTTGTTAAATAATCACCTACTCGACTACTGTTTGCGTCGAGTAGTCATTATAAATCGCTTAAGCTACTCGCCGAGAGTATAATCGATGAACTCCACCCTCTTGTCATAATATCACTTTATTATTTTATAAAGGTGTTGAAACTTTTTTTTTTTTTTTACAATTCAATAAAGAATTTTTCATTCTAATTCCAATTTTTTTTTTACTAATGTAAATTTCAAATTTTTATAACTATTAATTACTAATACTACTGCATGAGAAAAAAAAATGATAAATTTTCACTGGAACAGCGAAAGTTTTTCTTATTCTAAAGAATTAATTTTAGATAAAGATTTTTTTTTTATTTAATTTTTATTTAAAAAAAAAATGAAAAAAAATTACCCTCAATTCATTAAAATATTTATATAAACCGTAAAAATTTTTCTTAAAACGAAAATTAATATAAAAATAAGTATTATATATATTGAATATGGCGCATCGACATTTCAATGGAGCTGATTATTTCGTTAATGAAACATGACAAAGGTTAATTGGTCAGCTATTAATCTTTCGTTGACTCGATAGCTTGATTGCAAAACATAGGGTGAAAGTTCACCATACATAGTTTCTTTAGATATATGCAAATCAATAAAAAGTACAGCATCGAATAAAATTTTTTTGATCTAATTTTAAAAATCAATTTTCTTTTAATTTAATTTAAGGGTCCAAGTTGTTTATATAAGCAAATTATTGACTAATTTGTAGCCACCCTTTTTTTAAATACAAAATAAAAAATTTTCTTCTTTTATGTGAAAATGGAATTTTTTTTTTTTATATTTAAAGTACAAAATGATATCTTATTTGCCTAAAAATATTGGAAAAAATAAAAGCATTACCATAGCAACCAGTACCATGGCAACCGTTTCCATAGTAACAGTTTCCATAGTAACCGTTTCCATAGTAATCGTTTCCATAGTAACCGTTTCGATAGTAACAGTTTCCATAATAATCGTTTCCATAGTAACCGTTTCCATATAGTAAAAGTTTCCATAATAATCGTTTCAATAGTAACCGTTTCCATAGTAACCGTTTCTATAGTAACCGTTTCCTTAGTAACCGTTTCCATAGCAACCGTTTTCATAGTAACTGTTGCCATAGTAACCGTTTCTATAGTAACCGTTTCCTTAGTAACCGTTTCCATAGCAACCGTTTTCATAGTAACTGTTGCCATAGTAACCGTTTCCATAGTAACCGTTTCCATAGCAACCGTATCCATGACAACCGTTTCTATGACAACCATGTTACAAACGTAAAAATTATTATATTCTTTTTGTATTTTAGAAAAATATTGTCCAAATTTTTATCTCCTTAATTATATATAATTTATTTAGCTTATTTTTGCGTTCGAAAGTACAATTAGCCGGTTAATTGAATTTTAATAAAATAAAATAAATCCTACGTTTATATTTGTGGGATTCGATAAAATTAAAAACAAAAAAATTGTTTTTTGAAATTATATATATAAATTTCATGTGAAAATTGAATTGAAATTGAATGAAATGTAATAGTGTTTAATTAAATAATTTAGTTAGCTTAGCAAATAAACAAGTAATGTTTGTTAAAAAGTGAAAGCCTCATTTACATAACTGTTTTTTTTTTACTGTTCTATAAGTTTACATTCTAAAATTTTGTTTCTTTATTTATTTATTTTTTTTTACAATAAACATACATTTATTTGCAAATTAAACGTCACACAATTTAGACTTGTCTTTAAAGTTTTCTTATACTTTGTATAGTACCGCAAGGTTTAAATTCAAGGTGAAAGTAGAAAGTTAACGTTCTCTTAACTTGTTGCCAGGATTCATTGAATTTATATACAGACTAAGTATATATTGAACGAGTATAGTCGATAATATTTCAACCAAATTTTTAACAAAAAAAATGTTTGCAAAAAAAAAAATCCTTACTGATTATAAATAATTTATTTTGTTTTTTTTTTCTTACAAAATGTCTTTTCGATTGAATTGAATTAAATTGTTAGGATACCGGAAAAAATAGATTTGAAAAGTGATTATTAATATGGGAAAGGTATTTATTAGTTAATTTGTGCAATAACAGGTGAGGGATCATTACGCTTGAAAAGTTTAGCCAAAGTCTCTATATACTACAGTGTAATAAATAGTAAATAGATGAATATATATGTGGCACATGACATGGAGGTGTCTTACATAACTAGTTTACACACACACACACATTTTCAACTTGATAAAAATTTGTTCGTCTAACATGATAAGTTAAAATACAGATTCTACGAAAGATAAATTTTTACATTAAACCACTTTTCTGTTCTTCATCGCGCACAAAAAAAAAAAAAAAAAAAACCCGAGAGAGAATATATATTTTTTATTCTTCTTTAGAATGTCAGCATTTTCCTTGCAGTGCAATTAGATGTCTTTAAATTGTTATATAAATGCGGAATTACGACTCTTGTTACTTTATTAACAATTTTTTAAACAAACTATATACTTAGAAAATTATATTTTCAGAAAGAAAATTTTAAGAAGTCACTGATATTTTTGTATAAAAAGATAAAAAGTAGTAAACAAAAATGTTTAAAAAAAAAAAAATTTTATAGCAAATAAGAAAATATTAAAATATCAATGAATTTTTAAATGTCGAAGAATGCTAATAATTACTTAATATGCCTCAATGAGGAAAAGGCGTATTTTTAATATCATCAAACATAAAGACATAAAAATTGTTAAGTTGCGTTCCAACATGTTTTAGTATCATTGCCATCAGTTAAACTTTAGGGCTGTAAAATCTAACTTGAGGTTATAAAATTAATACAAGTTTATTCTGCCAAGAAATAAAGGTAGTCACAAAATAATTTAACTTTAATTTAAACTTAAAAATAATTTAAAAAAAAAATGTAGTTTTTTTTTTGAGAATAAAATATTCCATCAAGATAATGTTTATAAAATTCGTAAAGTAGAATTTTAAAACTAGAAAATTTTGTTGTGTAAATATCCTTAGACGAACAAAGATTCAAAAATTAGATTTGAAATATGTTTCGGTTATTTTGAGATTACATTATTTTCAATGATTTTCAATGTCAGTTGAATATTAAGTAAGCTAATGTATAAAGATAAATTGTATAAAATATACGAATGTTTTCTAATAGAAAGAAGCTGTAGATGACTTGTAGTTCAAAAGTATTTTGAATTTCAAAAATTTTGATATATATATATATAGCTATATATATATACGATGCAATTGATAAAAGAGGATCAGAGACAGATCAAGGTTGTCATTGTAGAAATATCTTTTTTATCCATTTCAAAACATAGTAACAGATTGTAATCAACTAAACATCTTTTACAAATATTGATTATTGTTTGCTTATTAAATGTGTCAATTTTTGCGCTATTATAATTTGCCACACAAATATGTATAATATCTTTATCAAAAACATGACAAAGTTTAAATATTTTCAAATTTTATATGTAATTTTTAATTTCAAATTTTTTTAATTTAAAAAATTTTTTAAACAAAATTATAATTAATTAAATTTTAATGACAATGGAATTAGAGAGTAACTCAAACTTTTTTTTGAGGTTAACTTTACAATACACAAAATCCCGACCAAATAGTAATTACTGAATCCGCAAAAATTAAATATTGCTTTAATTAATAGGGGAAACCACATTAGGACGTTGTTTTTTAGCCGTTTTTCGGGAGTTTTTTCAAAAAGGATAACATTTTTTTTTTTAAATGAAATGCAAGAATGACATTATGTTGCACATATATTTATCTGCGTTTCACAATTTTTTTTAAGCATTTTTATTAAAAACATTACTAGTTAGCAGCGATTAATCCTGTATAGCTGTGGCGTCTGAGTTTATGATTGCTGTGCAAGGTGGAGTCTACAAATTTGATCTAAAAGCAAAAAAATGAAGGTTATTCACATTTTATACAAATTTTATTATTAATTGAACTTTTAATTGAAAATATACTCGGAGCAAGCTTCATTCATTGCCTGTAGCACAGAGAGGACACCGAATTTCGTTGTAAAAACTTTTTCAACATACTTTTGAATACATAAGCTGACTATTTATGCAAAAAAAAAAACAATTCGATTTCTTGAACCTCTTAAGTGGTTTCCCCTCTTAATAAAAACAGCAACTTAAATTTTTTTTTGAGGTTAACTATACAATACAAAAAATCACGACCAAATAGTAATCACCGAATCTGTAAAAATTAAATATTAAAAATTGCTTTAATTAATAAAAGTGGGAAACTTCTTTTGAGGTTAACTTTACAATACACAAAATCATGATCAAATAGTTATCACCGAATCTGCAAAAATGAAAATATTAAAATAAACTAATAAAAGGAGCAAGCAATTTTTTTATAATAGTTTATATTGACTAACCTCGTTTGGTTCCTGCAATCTATTCTCGTATATGGTTCTTTAATAAAACGAACTGAACTTCTGTCAAAGTGAACACAGTGTTGCCAACTTAAGCAGGGTGCGGTAGTTGACGAGAATTATGACTAATGACGAGTGGAGATTTTGGCGATTGAGAGCAATGGAAACCAACTCCATGTGTCCAATCAGAGTTGCCAATAACTCTACCTAAATGCAACTGCGCTTGCGCTACGTCAGTTCTCTTATAGGTCGAAAAAAGCGCGCTTATATAAAATGCTTAATATAATAAGAAAACTTTTAGAAAGCAATATAAAAATATTTTCACTATTGAAAAATGATTAATTAGCGTAAAATTATCAAGAATATAATGAAAATCCTAAATTTGAATTAGTAATTATTTTTGAATTAACTTACTGTTTAAATAACGATCATATATATGTATATAGAAAAAAAAGTATTCCAATCGACGTTTGATGAACAGATGTCCTGCATCAATTATTGGAGACGTGTTGTCAACATGGAACGTGATAATGATTACATGCCCGTTATGATATACTCGCAAATCGCACCACATCATGAACAATCAATTATCTTTTTAACAATCCTTTCTTATCCCAACGATATATAGAGAAAAAAAAAGTGAAGCGGCTCGTCTCGCCTGTCTCCCTCGATTTAATCACTTGCTCCTGTCTCCTCCATCGTGATCATATCAAACATATATAATGCGGGCACATTTAAATATTTCACCTTGATATCTGGCGTGTAAGTAACTGACAGATTGACAGCGTTCGTGCCAACATCCAATTAGAATGCACAATTCAGAAAGTCGCAATTTCGATTCGATCCTTTTTTTTTGTGGTCCAGTAAGCAAAGTTAAATTTAATTTTTATAAACAATTTCAAAAATATACCAAAAATCTCATGAGAAAAATGATTTTCAAACATTTTTGTTTTAGAAGATCGTCTTTTTTTTTTTTGCCAAGTTTTCTCTTCTCTCTCTTGTTTCGAACGACAAGGATTTTTCTTCTACTATTCCCCCTATATTTTCACAGCCAATCATTTGAGAAGATAATCGCTAACTTTTACGGATGTTGCTTGTTCTCGTGGTTTGCACGCGATATTACGAACAAGTAATTTTAGGACTCCCCAAGAGTAGCGTGACTTGGATTTACCTTGTATATCCTTACATGAATTTGTAATGTTTCACACTGATTGGGGGTGGGGGGGAAATTATTATTTGCCCTTACAATTCATTTCCTATGCAATCAACTAAATTTCTAACTAATTAGTATAAGACTAACAAAATACGATCTAAGAATAATTAATTAAATACAATGTTAAGATAGTGACGCCGTGGCAATTAATTAAACCAGCATATAAATAGTTATCAACCTGTACGATGATAGAAAAGGAAAGTCGATCTTGGAACGCGTGTATGTACTATTGAAACTGAGTCACATAATTTAAAAACGTTTCAATTGACAATTTAATCTCTGATTTATCTTATGCCATTGATTATTATCATAGAATCATTAACAAAAACCGATTATTTTCCAGACATAGACAATTATGTAATTATGAACTTAGTTGTATGATAACGATATAAAAGATTTTATCAACAATGTTTAATATTAAAAGAAAAAAAAACAACAATATTGCAAAAAATTATTAATACATTTTTGCAACTAAACAAAAATTTATTGATTAACAAATTTATCAATTCAGTGATAAGTTTTTTTTTTTTTTTTTTTTAATGGAATTTTATCTCTTTAATGTGTCAGTTCTTTAAGTTTCACGCAACATAATTCTCCGACTTCTTCTCATGTAACTAACAATTTCTTCTCTAATGATTTCAGAATCGCATGATCTACAGCTCAATTATACAACCTATTATACGCGCTACACAAAATTCTTCTTTTTAAAATAAGTCCCTCTGTCGTTTCTTTTGTGCAAATTATTATTGCAAAGACTAATTCCGGTAAAATTATTTTCCACATGCAAAGACATATTAATAAATAAATAAATAAATAATAAAAAAAACAAACAAGATCTTTTTACAAATATATAATAAAATTGCGAAATACCATAATTTATACTATCCATATGTATTTATATATATAAAAAAAAGCATAATTATCCCATAAAAATAATTAGAATTTTCAAGAATTTTACTTTATTTTTTATCAAATTTTTTTCATTTTCAAATTATCATTTTTGAAGAGAATTTATATTTATATAAATTAATTTTTACATTAACAGAATTTTTAGCTACTGAATTTTTAACAGACACAAATTTTATGAAATTCTAATTCAAAAATTTCACAGTAAAAAAAAAAAGTAGAATTTTTACCCCAAAATCGGTATAAAAATTAACTGCAACAAATTTTATCCTAGTTGAGGGCGCCACCGTCTATGTGAATTAGCATTGGTTAAAATTACCCGCAACAAAATTTATCCAGCTTTTTTTCTGTGTTCCATTTATCGAATCTTTAATTGTGCGAATTTTTGTTTATCCAAAAACAAAATCAACAAAAAGATTTTGGCGCGATTTTCAAAAATCGAACAATCACAATTTTCTAAATAATTTCTGATTGGTGAATAATTGAAAATTGCGCGCCTAAATCTTTTTATCGATTTTGTTTTCGGTCATTTTTAAAATTCGGACAAATGAAAATTTGTTATTTTAATAAAATTTTCTATACAAAGAAAAAAATCTTTAAATTATAAATAGATATACTTTGTATTAAATACAGTTAATAAGATAAATTATAAACATATTTCACAAATAAATTAAATGCAATTTCTCTATATCAATATTTTATATATAAAAAAAAAAGTAAGAAATAATTATCAAAAAGTGCCGTTTAATATTCATTGAAAAAATGTTTGAAAAAAAAAAATAAATAACAAGGCAGTGCAAAAACATCCTTGAATAATTGCTTTCCGGATAACTATCTTTGGTATGGAAAAACTGGTTTTAAGAATTGAGTTCTCGTGAATGATTTGTCTTTTTTTTCACCTGGTTTATAATCGAGATGGCTATATGTATTTGTAATTTCGTTTCCGTTTTGCCGTCACAAATGCCAGAGAAAATTAGAGCTTTAGAATTTAAAGTTACTTTTGATAAGGACTGTACATTCTATATCTATTCACACTGTTGAGTGGCACTTGTAACTTTTCAAACACAGTTGCAATTTTGCAGCATTAGCTGAGTCTAGTAATGAAGAAAAGAGGGAGAGAGATACTGTGACAGACAGATTAAGAGGGGGAGGGGGGATAAATGCAAGAGAGAGAGAGAGAGAGAGAGAGAGAGAGAGAGAGAGAGAAACCTCCTTGTAAAATAGAGTCAGCAATAGAACTAGATTTACTACATCTTAGATGGAGACTAGGTTATTTAGAAGAAGAGCCACAGAAGATCGACAAAGATAAACTGATCACGGAAGAGGTAGATTTCAATCTTTGAATTTGCTGTTGACACTAAAATTAATAGAAGAACCGAGAAAACTATTATTTACAATGTGATTTTATTTTTCAAATTATTATTTTTTTTCAATATTTCTCGAAAGATAATTTAATTATAGAAAAATAAAAATTTTTTTCTTTTATTAACTTATTTTATATTAATTTAATTTACATAATTTTTTTGTTTCAATATTTATCAAAGATAATTAACTTTTTATTAAAGAAATAAAAAAAAATTTTTTTTTCTATTATTAACTTATTTTATATATTAATTTAATTTATATATTTAATTTTCTTTATAAGAATTTCAAATTTTTTTTTTTCTATTAATAGAAACTAGTTTTCAATATTTCTTTTCTTTTTGTTTGACTTTCTGGTGGTTCGACGATATTTATCTAATTTCTTATCATACAAAATTACGACAAAGTGCAAAATTTTATCTCTCTTGTTGATTATCATTGAAACATTGTAATGAATTCAAGTATATAATTTTTTTTTTTTTTTTTTGTGAAATATTTCTAATCTCAGAGTAAATATGGAAAAAATTCAGTAAAAAAAAAAAGATATATTAAATGACGTTAATGCTAAAAAAAAAAATCATCACATTATCCCCGCCTGAGTCTTAAATTAATAAAATCTTAATTATGAATAAATTTAACTGAAAATTTTATGGATTATATTGCCGACATTAATGAAGCATGTGTTCTTCTCATTATATTATTGAACAATCTGAACAATTTTGTATTTTAAAAAATTTCTTGTAACTTGAAATGTTGCACTTTGAAGCTAAAAGATCTTGACAAACAGGTTTATATATATATATATATATATATTCCAAAGCAATTGGATGCATGAATATACTTAAAAATAAGAACAAAATTACACGTTCTTTTAACAATTGTATCAGTTGTTACCAAAAGGAGAGAAAAAAGTAAAGTTGGATATAATTTGAAAAAAACAAGATTGCCTAAAGGTATATAAGATAATAATCCATTCGAGGAATCAAAAGAAGTGAAAAGATTGATAAAAAAAGGATGCCATTATGATTGATGTCAGAATTTTCATTTTTTTTAAACTTACACAAAAAAACTGACTCATTTTAAAGTGACAACAAAAATGTGCCTCGTAGGTGGCGCCACACGTTCTACACGCAGAGAAATGATTTATTTGAACCAAATAAAATATATTTGAGTTAAATAAACGTATATTTGTCTCAGAGCCTACTAACTTATTTATTTAGCGTAAATAAAAGTTTTATTTGTCAGAAATAAATTTTTCTTTGCCTCAAATAAATTTTTTATTTCAATGAAATAAAATATATTTGCAACAAATAAATGAGTTAGTAGGCTCGGAGACAAATATACCATTTCTCTGAGTGTATCATTTGACTCATTTTGAACTGCAACAAAAATTAGTTGACACTCTTAAAAATTTCTATCAGAATTTTTTGTCGTATAACTAAAGTTTTATACTGTTACGTGTTACAAAAAATTTGTTATAGTTTCGTAATTCTCATAATCGTTGCTGAATAAAATTTTAATCATAACTAAAAATTCTTTTACTTTTGTATACGTATCAGTAAAATAAAGAAAAATTATTAAAATTGTTAGGGTAATTAATCAAGATATAAAAAATATATTGAAATTAGAATGGTCAGTTAAATGTGTGCCACGAAATATTCAACGAGAAGGAAAAGAGCATCCGATCTGGCTACAAAAGTTGGCAGAGTGCAACTTGCGTTCTTGCATAATCGCCGGATAAAGAGGAGCCACTTCGGTGTCGGAAGATAAAAAAGGATAAAAAGTCTATGCAGAATGACACGTGGCACACAGACACGATTATATATGTATATGTATATATATATATATATATATTTATTGTATACGCTCATTGTACACGTATATATATATATATATATATATATATATATATATATATAGAGAGAGAGAGAGAGAGAGAGAGAGAGAGAGAGAGAGAGAGAGAGAGAGAGAGAGAGAGAGAGAGAGAGAGAGAGAGAGAGAGAGAGAGAGAGAGAGAGAGAGAGAGAGAGAGAGAGAGAGAGAGAGAGAGAGAGAATAGTGTAACTTAGTTTTCCTTGACATAGCAGCTAACATTTTACAATGTTATTCATGACAATGACGGTCAAACCATGTTCCTTGTATATAGTGACTTCATTACTGACCAATACAGTTGTTGTCAGAGACCTCACGATTATATTATCCAACGTGCAACGTGAGCGTCTGGTGCGAATAAAATTATACGTACATCAATATGAAATAAATTCCTCCAACAAATGTATTTGACACGTGCTCGCACTATAAATGACTAATGATCTTACCGCATTATACGATCATCATTTTTCTTTTTAACGAAGCACGCAATTTTTATTTCCTGCACATATATAGGACAAATTTTTTTTTTTTTTTAATTTAGATATCTTAAAACAAAAAATAATGCAAAATTATTAGGATATGAAATTATTTTTACTCTACCGTAAATTAACTTACTAATAATTTTCAAAAAAAAAAAAACCTAGTTTCAGTTTCCAACACGATAAAAAAATTACTATGATAGCAATCATTTCCGTAGTAACCGTTTCCATAGTAAACGTTTCCATAGTAACCGTTTCCTTAGTAACCGTTTCCTTAGCAACTGTTTCCTTAGCAACTGTTTCCTTAGTAACTGTTTCCTTAGCAACTGTTTCCATAGTAACCGTTTCCATATAGTAACAATTTCCATAGTAACAGTTTCCAAAGTAACCGTTTCCGTAGCAACCTTTTCTATCTTAACTGTTTCCATAGTAACCGATTCCATAGTAACCGTTTCCTTAGTAACCGTTTCCTTAGTAACCGTTTCCTTAGTAACCGTTTCCATAGTAACCGTTTCCATAGCAACCGTTTTCATAGCAACTGTTTCCATAGTAACTGTTGCCATAGTAACTTTTGCCATAGTAACTAACTGTTTCAATAGTAACTTTTGCCATAGTAACTAACTGTTTCCATAGTAACTGTTTCCATAGTAACCGTTTCCTTAGCAACCGTTTCCATAGTAATTACTTTCATAGCAACCGTTTCCATAGTAACCGTTTCCTTAGTAACCGTTTCCTTAGTAACCGTTTTCATAGTAACTGTTGCCATAGTAACTGTTTCCATAGTAACTGTTGCCATAGTAACTTTTGCCATAGTAACTAACTGTTTCAATAGTAACTTTTGCCATAGTAACTAACTGTTTCCATAGTAACTGTTTCCATAGTAACCGTTTACGTAGCAACCTTTTCCATAGTAACTGTTTCCATAGTAACCGTTTCCTTAGCAACCGTTTCCATAGTAACTACTTTCATAGCAACCGTTTCCATAGTAACTGTTTCCATAGTAACCGTTTCCTTAGCAACCTTTTCCATAGTAACTGTTTCCATAGTAACCGTTTCCATAGTAACCGTTTCCTTAGCAACTGTTTCTAAAGTAACAATTTCCATAGTAACTGTTTCTATAGTAACTGTTTCCATAGTAACTGTTTCCATAGTAACCGTTTCCGTAGAAACCGTTTCCTTAGTAACCGTTTCCATAGTAACCGTTTCCATAGCAACCGTTTTCATAGCAACTGTTTCCATAGTAACTGTTGCCATAGTAACTTTTGCCATAGTAACTAACTGTTTCAATAGTAACTTTTGCCATAGTAACTAACTGTTTCCATAGTAACTGTTTCCATAGTAACCGTTTCCTTAGCAACCGTTTCCATAGTAACTACTTTCATAGCAACCGTTTCCATAGTAACCGTTTCCTTAGTAACCGTTTCCATAGTAACAGTTTCCAAAGTAACCGTTTCCGTAGCAACCTTTTCTATCTTAACTGTTTCCATAGTAACCGATTCCATAGTAACCGTTTCCTTAGTAACCGTTTCCTTAGTAACCGTTTCCTTAGTAACCGTTTCCATAGTAACCGTTTCCATAGCAACCGTTTTCATAGCAACTGTTTCCATAGTAACTGTTGCCATAGTAACTTTTGCCATAGTAACTAACTGTTTCAATAGTAACTTTTGCCATAGTAACTAACTGTTTCCATAGTAACTGTTTCCATAGTAACCGTTTCCTTAGCAACCGTTTCCATAGTAACTACTTTCATAGCAACCGTTTCCATAGTAACCGTTTCCTTAGTAACCGTTTCCTTAGTAACCGTTTTCATAGTAACTGTTGCCATAGTAACTGTTTCCATAGTAACTGTTGCCATAGTAACTTTTGCCATAGTAACTAACTGTTTCAATAGTAACTTTTGCCATAGTAACTAACTGTTTCCATAGTAACTGTTTCCATAGTAACCGTTTACGTAGCAACCTTTTCCATAGTAACTGTTTCCATAGTAACCGTTTCCTTAGCAACCGTTTCCATAGTAACTACTTTCATAGCAACCGTTTCCATAGTAACTGTTTCCATAGTAACCGTTTCCTTAGCAACCTTTTCCATAGTAACTGTTTCCATAGTAACCGTTTCCATAGTAACCGTTTCCTTAGCAACTGTTTCTAAAGTAACAATTTCCATAGTAACTGTTTCTATAGTAACTGTTTCCATAGTAACTGTTTCCATAGTAACCGTTTCCGTAGAAACCTTTTCCATAGTAACTGTTTCCATAGTAACCGTTTCCATAGTAACTGTTTCCATAGCAACCGTTTCCTTAGTAACCGTTTCCTTAGCAACTGTTTCCTTAGCAACTGTTTCCTTAGTAACTGTTTCCTTAGCAACTGTTTCCATAGTAACCGTTTCCATATAGTAACAATTTCCATAGTAACAGTTTCCAAAGTAACCGTTTCCGTAGCAACCTTTTCTATCTTAACTGTTTCCATAGTAACCGATTCCATAGTAACCGTTTCCTTAGTAACCGTTTCCTTAGTAACCGTTTCCTTAGTAACCGTTTCCATAGTAACCGTTTCCATAGCAACCGTTTTCATAGCAACTGTTTCCATAGTAACTGTTGCCATAGTAACTTTTGCCATAGTAACTAACTGTTTCAATAGTAACTTTTGCCATAGTAACTAACTGTTTCCATAGTAACTGTTTCCATAGTAACCGTTTCCTTAGCAACCGTTTCCATAGTAACTACTTTCATAGCAACCGTTTCCATAGTAACCGTTTCCTTAGTAACCGTTTCCTTAGTAACCGTTTTCATAGTAACTGTTGCCATAGTAACTGTTTCCATAGTAACTGTTGCCATAGTAACTTTTGCCATAGTAACTAACTGTTTCAATAGTAACTTTTGCCATAGTAACTAACTGTTTCCATAGTAACTGTTTCCATAGTAACCGTTTACGTAGCAACCTTTTCCATAGTAACTGTTTCCATAGTAACCGTTTCCTTAGCAACCGTTTCCATAGTAACTACTTTCATAGCAACCGTTTCCATAGTAACTGTTTCCATAGTAACCGTTTCCATAGTAACCGTTTCCTTAGCAACCTTTTCCATAGTAACTGTTTCCATAGTAACCGTTTCCATAGTAACCGTTTCCTTAGCAACTGTTTCTAAAGTAACAATTTCCATAGTAACTGTTTCTATAGTAACTGTTTCCATAGTAACTGTTTCCATAGTAACCGTTTCCGTAGAAACCGTTTCCTTAGTAACCGTTTCCATAGTAACCGTTTCCATAGCAACCGTTTTCATAGCAACTGTTTCCATAGTAACTGTTGCCATAGTAACTTTTGCCATAGTAACTAACTGTTTCAATAGTAACTTTTGCCATAGTAACTAACTGTTTCCATAGTAACTGTTTCCATAGTAACCGTTTCCTTAGCAACCGTTTCCATAGTAACTACTTTCATAGCAACCGTTTCCATAGTAACCGTTTCCTTAGTAACCGTTTCCATAGTAACAGTTTCCAAAGTAACCGTTTCCGTAGCAACCTTTTCTATCTTAACTGTTTCCATAGTAACCGATTCCATAGTAACCGTTTCCTTAGTAACCGTTTCCTTAGTAACCGTTTCCTTAGTAACCGTTTCCATAGTAACCGTTTCCATAGCAACCGTTTTCATAGCAACTGTTTCCATAGTAACTGTTGCCATAGTAACTTTTGCCATAGTAACTAACTGTTTCAATAGTAACTTTTGCCATAGTAACTAACTGTTTCCATAGTAACTGTTTCCATAGTAACCGTTTCCTTAGCAACCGTTTCCATAGTAACTACTTTCATAGCAACCGTTTCCATAGTAACCGTTTCCTTAGTAACCGTTTCCTTAGTAACCGTTTTCATAGTAACTGTTGCCATAGTAACTGTTTCCATAGTAACTGTTGCCATAGTAACTTTTGCCATAGTAACTAACTGTTTCAATAGTAACTTTTGCCATAGTAACTAACTGTTTCCATAGTAACTGTTTCCATAGTAACCGTTTACGTAGCAACCTTTTCCATAGTAACTGTTTCCATAGTAACCGTTTCCTTAGCAACCGTTTCCATAGTAACTACTTTCATAGCAACCGTTTCCATAGTAACTGTTTCCATAGTAACCGTTTCCTTAGCAACCTTTTCCATAGTAACTGTTTCCATAGTAACCGTTTCCATAGTAACCGTTTCCTTAGCAACTGTTTCTAAAGTAACAATTTCCATAGTAACTGTTTCTATAGTAACTGTTTCCATAGTAACTGTTTCCATAGTAACCGTTTCCGTAGAAACCTTTTCCATAGTAACTGTTTCCATAGTAACCGTTTCCATAGTAACTGTTTCCATAGCAACCGTTTCCTTAGTAACCGTTTCCTTAGCAACTGTTTCCTTAGCAACTGTTTCCTTAGTAACTGTTTCCTTAGCAACTGTTTCCATAGTAACCGTTTCCATATAGTAACAATTTCCATAGTAACAGTTTCCAAAGTAACCGTTTCCGTAGCAACCTTTTCTATCTTAACTGTTTCCATAGTAACCGATTCCATAGTAACCGTTTCCTTAGTAACCGTTTCCTTAGTAACCGTTTCCTTAGTAACCGTTTCCATAGTAACCGTTTCCATAGCAACCGTTTTCATAGCAACTGTTTCCATAGTAACTGTTGCCATAGTAACTTTTGCCATAGTAACTAACTGTTTCAATAGTAACTTTTGCCATAGTAACTAACTGTTTCCATAGTAACTGTTTCCATAGTAACCGTTTCCTTAGCAACCGTTTCCATAGTAACTACTTTCATAGCAACCGTTTCCATAGTAACCGTTTCCTTAGTAACCGTTTCCTTAGTAACCGTTTTCATAGTAACTGTTGCCATAGTAACTGTTTCCATAGTAACTGTTGCCATAGTAACTTTTGCCATAGTAACTAACTGTTTCAATAGTAACTTTTGCCATAGTAACTAACTGTTTCCATAGTAACTGTTTCCATAGTAACCGTTTACGTAGCAACCTTTTCCATAGTAACTGTTTCCATAGTAACCGTTTCCTTAGCAACCGTTTCCATAGTAACTACTTTCATAGCAACCGTTTCCATAGTAACTGTTTCCATAGTAACCGTTTCCTTAGCAACCTTTTCCATAGTAACTGTTTCCATAGTAACCGTTTCGATAGTAACCGTTTCCTTAGCAACTGTTTCTAAAGTAACAATTTCCATAGTAACTGTTTCTATAGTAACTGTTTCCATAGTAACTGTTTCCATAGTAACCGTTTCCGTAGAAACCGTTTCCTTAGTAACCGTTTCCATAGTAACCGTTTCCATAGCAACCGTTTTCATAGCAACTGTTTCCATAGTAACTGTTGCCATAGTAACTTTTGCCATAGTAACTAACTGTTTCAATAGTAACTTTTGCCATAGTAACTAACTGTTTCCATAGTAACTGTTTCCATAGTAACCGTTTCCTTAGCAACCGTTTCCATAGTAACTACTTTCATAGCAACCGTTTCCATAGTAACCGTTTCCTTAGTAACCGTTTCCATAGTAACAGTTTCCAAAGTAACCGTTTCCGTAGCAACCTTTTCTATCTTAACTGTTTCCATAGTAACCGATTCCATAGTAACCGTTTCCTTAGTAACCGTTTCCTTAGTAACCGTTTCCTTAGTAACCGTTTCCATAGTAACCGTTTCCATAGCAACCGTTTTCATAGCAACTGTTTCCATAGTAACTGTTGCCATAGTAACTTTTGCCATAGTAACTAACTGTTTCAATAGTAACTTTTGCCATAGTAACTAACTGTTTCCATAGTAACTGTTTCCATAGTAACCGTTTCCTTAGCAACCGTTTCCATAGTAACTACTTTCATAGCAACCGTTTCCATAGTAACCGTTTCCTTAGTAACCGTTTCCTTAGTAACCGTTTTCATAGTAACTGTTGCCATAGTAACTGTTTCCATAGTAACTGTTGCCATAGTAACTTTTGCCATAGTAACTAACTGTTTCAATAGTAACTTTTGCCATAGTAACTAACTGTTTCCATAGTAACTGTTTCCATAGTAACCGTTTACGTAGCAACCTTTTCCATAGTAACTGTTTCCATAGTAACCGTTTCCTTAGCAACCGTTTCCATAGTAACTACTTTCATAGCAACCGTTTCCATAGTAACTGTTTCCATAGTAACCGTTTCCTTAGCAACCTTTTCCATAGTAACTGTTTCCATAGTAACCGTTTCCATAGTAACCGTTTCCTTAGCAACTGTTTCTAAAGTAACAATTTCCATAGTAACTGTTTCTATAGTAACTGTTTCCATAGTAACTGTTTCCATAGTAACCGTTTCCGTAGAAACCTTTTCCATAGTAACTGTTTCCATAGTAACCGTTTCCATAGTAACTGTTTCCATAGCAACCGTTGCTAAGGATTCTATTTCCCTTAGCAACGGTTGCTAAGGATTTTTTTTCTTTAGCAACAAATTAGATTCAATTTCTAAAATTCCTAATTCTAAAATTTTCAATTATTATTTAAATTTAAAATTTAAATACCAAATTTAAAATAGCAAATTTGAGAGTAAAATATTCTCAAACAAGTACCTGTTCTTATTATTCAAATACTGAAAAGAAAAATAAATTTTGATTATAAATTCATAAAATAGAAAAAATAACTTTTTTCTATTAATTTTTCTGTCTAGTGTTGAACCTTATATATTTCACAATATATATATATATGTATATAGAGAAAACGTGGTCTTAAATCTGTAAGGTCGAATGCAGTCAGAGATTATCTTATCGCATGCATGTGTCAAAGTACAATTTTTTTATTCTAAAAATCTTGTCATTCGCGAACGATATTGTGGAAGTGGGAATTTTAATTTTCAAATGCAAAAGATTATACCGAATCTTTATGCAAATAATTCATCATATCTTCAATTGACCAAATTTTTTTTTTGACAATATTCATGAAACGAAAAAATTTGCATTTGTCCAAAATTGAAAATGACCGCGAAAACAAAATTGACAGAGGTGATTTTGGCGCGATTTTCAAAAATTTATAATCAATCAGAAATTATTTTAAAAATTGTCAATTTTAAAAATCGCGTCGAAATCTTTTCTGTCGATTTTGTTTTCGCGGTCATTTTTAATTTCGAACAAATAAAAATTCGGTATTTCCAAAAATTCTATTAAAATTTTTTTTTGAAAATTATCTTAAATTCGAAAAATAAAAATTCGACTAAATAAATTACAATTCTTTTAATAATAAAATTTCGAATTAATAATTTTTTTTTTTTAAGTGAAAATTATAAAATGATTTTCTTCTACTTTTATTGATTTGGAAAATATAATTAATCTCTATATAGTGAATCTTGTAGGAACAGACAAATTTATCAGCGATAACAGTGTAGGGCAGTAAATAAAGTCATTCAAAAGTTTATATAACAAAAAGTTACTGTAATCATGCGGGTATAAAATGTCGTTGCTTTTCTAAAATTTTCCATTCAATATAGAAGTGTCTATGAAATTTTCATGATACTCTCTCTCTCTCTCTTTCTCTCTCTCTCTGTGAGGCAAATCACGAATTATTTAATTTGTAATTTTTCAGATTTTTCTCGCAATTAAAATAAATTTAAATTATCTATAAAAAAAAAATTTTTGTTTCTAAAGTTTTTAAAAGTAGAAAAATTAAAAAGACTTTTCGGTTTTTTTTTACATTGAAACTTGATTTAAATTTTAATATATAAAAAGTAAAAAAAAAAAAAATAACAAAGAGAAAAGGCGGGGAAAAAAAAGAATGACAATATTCGAAAAGGCATTTACGTTGTTATAAGCAAGCAGTGCACAAAACTATATAATATTATTTTTGAAAGTCTTTCAAAGTTGGGCGTTACGGAACTTTTACGACAAGCAGTGTGATGGCATGCACAATGCCAGAGACGGTTTTACATATCGTAAAGAGCATGCATGACCTAAGGAGCACGTATAAATCGGTCTGCGCCTGCTGTTATGTCTCCCGCGTGTGAGGGCCGTTCACAATTTTATGCTTGCAGATATTTTTTCTTTTTTTTAAAGATTTTCTCATATTGCGGCAGATCGATTTTTTTCTACTTTCAAGCATTTTTTTTTTTTTTTTTTTTTTCATACAATAATCAATGACGAAGAAAAGTATATCACAAATTTTAACATTAGTTAAGGACGCCACCGCCTATGGGCGCTTCAGTCAATAACTGTCCGCAACAAAAAATAAGACTATTTTCAAAATGTTTTTATTTTAGTTTTTCAGAATATTGCAAATTGACGTCGGCATATAAGGGGACCGGAAGTTAAAGTAATTAAAGTATAAAAGCACTCTTGCAGCTGCAAGTCACTATTTCTGAGTTACACGCGCTAATTTCTTGCCATATTAATAATAAATGTTTTTGACATTATCGTTTATAGGGAAACCTATTATTATCAAAATAAAATAAATTCTACAAAAAATTTTCTTTTTTTTACAAGAAATTAGTTTGAAGAATGATATACGGGAATTGTAGAAAATTGATTTTAAAAATGCAACAAAAATAGTAACAAAGAAGTTGTCAAAAGGAGAATTGGAAGGACGAGACATGAAAAAGGACAGTATAAGGAGAGCTATAAAACGAGAAATCTGGAGATGAATATATTAATTAGTGGTTTGGCAGCTTCTTGCAGTCAGAAAAGAAGATTCATCTACCATGCAAAAGCCGAATATCCCAAAAGTTAACCAGAAGAAATGAACGAACCAAAACGACATGCAGGGTAACACCGTTAAAGTATAATTTACGAGTCAGCGAATTTTCGTGTGCTCGTCTTTTGAAAGAGCTGAGCTTCTCAAATAAATTCAACATCCAAACATACCGCTTTCAACTATATATATTTTTTTTATTCCATAAGAATTGGTATAAAATTTTAAATATATAGAATTTACAACATTGTATTTTAATTGAAATACTATAATTATAATTGCTGCAGAAAAAAAAGAAAGCAGACTTTTCGTTCGTTATGCTATATAATAATTTATGAAAATATAGCCAAGAGAACGAATTTTATTCTTTATCACATTTGATACGAGACTTTATCAGTATCCCGTTAATGTGTTCGGGCTTGAATGCGAGTGTCACGTTAATAAATATTTGCAAAGGAAGTTGTTGAGGACGTGACTGACTGGCGTGATTTCAAATCATATCAAAGTAATTTAAATAGTTGATCGAAATTAAAACGTATTTAAAATAAACATATACAGGCATATAAGAGAACATAAAATGAAAATTAAAAAGATATTTTTCATTTCAACTTTGATACATCCGAGAATATAACTTTAGTTACAGTTAATTTCAGAATTTAATTAGTATAATTACTATATGATTTTTAGTATTTTTTTTTTTTTAATTTTGCTTCGAAAATACTCTTCTTTTACAGACCCATTTTCTGTGAAATATTATTTAGAGTACATTTTATTTTATTTTTTTTTTCAAGGGAATATATTAAATAAAGTTTTATCGATTTTTGGAAATACTCCATTTCTCTACTCATATATATAATTGGAGACGATTCCAAGAAACTTGCAATTAAAATATGATGGGGGCAAAACTAACAGTCAAAATTTTATCATTTAGAAAATTATTCTACACTGTTCCGCCTGCACGTGTTTGAGATATTTTTTTTTCTGCCTTTCTCAGAAAATCTTTATTACCAATGGATGCGAGAATTATTGAATTTATAATTAATTCTGCTATTAGAGACGCGCCAGCGCACATTATTACTATTTCGTCATACAAAATTTTTTTTCTAAAACAAATTTTTGCATTATTCTTCGATTTTGTTTCTTTTTTTTATTACTACTTCCGGTTTCTTAAGAATTTACAAAAAATGAAAAGATTGGAATTGCAGTGCTCAATAAGTCCTAGGTTTTTGAATTTCATTTTTTTTTTTCAGTTAAATTTTTTATCGACACTGAAGAAACAGTATATAATTTATATTTGCCAGATTTCATTCTATGATAATTAATCTATTTTATTTCTTTTTTTTTTATTAGCAAACAGCGACATCTTGGAATATTCACGAAAAATGTATCAGAATAGACCGGAGTTACTGCGTGATTTTAAACCAGAATACATGAGGGAAATAAAACCGGAATTACTGCGTGATATTAAACCAGAATTCATGACGGAATTGAAAGCTGATTTGTCATCAATTAAGCCGGAACAGTACCAATTGAAGTCAGAATTACCATACCCATTGAAGCCGGAATTATTGTGCCAAATAAGGGCGGAACAATACCAAATGAAATCATCAATACCGTATCCAATAAAACCAGAATTATTATATCAAATAAAACCAGAATTGCAGTTCCCATGTCTCAATATACCATTCAAGTCCCTTGGTGCTCCAACGTACGTTGATCGTGTTCCAGTTATCGGTGGAATTCCTCCAGGATATGGAGGACTTCCAGGATTTTTTAGCCGTTTAAAAATTCCGCCGAGTCATGATTGTCTTCCGGAACCTTCCACCACATAACCCTGGTAAGTTTATTTTTCATTTTAAATTTATAATTTGATTCATCTGTTATTTGTATTTATGTGTAAATTTTTTTCTAATAATTATTTTTCTCGTTAACACCATTTTTTAAATCCATGAGAGCAATAATAGAAAAATTTTATAACTATCAATGTTCCCTAATCTTTATTTTCAGGCAAGTATTTCTTTCAATTGATTATAATTAAATTCATACTTCATGATAAAAAAAAAATTACAATGGGATTAGACTACATAAGAGATTTTTCACAGTGATTTAATTTTTAATTAATAAAAGTGGACAAATTTTTTTTTGAGTTTAACTTTACAATACACAAAATCTCGATTAAATAGTTATTTTATTACTAATTATTAAATCATTAATGTCCGAGTGGATTATATTTGAATTGGTTTCATAATAAAAAAAAGATAACATTCGGACAAATGGATTTTAATTATAATATTTTCTCCAACGTTTCGAAATCACACTGATTTCCTCTTCAGGGAGTTTAACAATACAAAAAAAATTAATTAAATTAAAATACAAAGAAATTAAATTAATTAATTTTTTTTATTACTGATATTAAATAACAGTTATTGCTTTAATGAATAAAAATGGACAATAACTCAAACATTTTTTTGAGGTTAACTTTTTACAATACACAAAATCATGACCAAATAGTAATCAGCAAAAATTGCTGTATTTAATAAAAGTGGGCAGCATTTTTTTTTTTGAGGTTAATTTTACAATACACAAAATCACGATCAAAATAGTAATCACCGAATCTGCAAAATTAAAAAAAATTAAAATAAAATAATACAGAAGCAAGCAATTTTTTTTTTATATTATTTCGACTTACTTCGTTTCTAGAAGTTCATATATTTTAATATCTTAAATACACATGCTTTGCCGTGGTAAATTGCCACTATCGACTATGATGCACCCTAGCGAGAAATTTGCAAGATTTTCAAAAAAAAAGCGCGCTTATTTCAAATGTTTTTATTATAAGAAAATGTTAAAAAAATGTAATATAAAAATATTTGAATTATAATAGTATCTTAAAAATTAAAGCAGATTTAATAGCATTGTTTAATAATTTCCAATCTGGTTGGAAAAATATTCATTACTTAAAAAACAAATCAAAACTTATAATAATAAAAATTGCAAAATAAATTATATTTGTGCGAACATTACAAATTTATCGCTGATTCAAATTAAAAGAGTTTATATATGAGTTGCATTTAAGAGAAGAGGGAACGCTTGGACTTTGAATATACTATTTCATATTTTATGTCGTTTTTATGTGCCTTTTCGGAATTGTGGCTGCTTCTTTCGAAATCCTCAAACTCTTCTCCGCTCAGCCTCATTTTGATTTTTCTCTCTTTCTATCCTCCTCTCTTTTGTCTTTCTCTCTCTCTCTCTTTCTGATGAAATCGAAACGCCCCCGAAATATCAGTTGCTTGTTTCAACGTCTGTTATTCGCAGAATATGTTTTTTTTTTTTCTTCTTGTAATAAATATTTTACGATTTTTACTGTCTTTAAAAGAACTTGAGTTTTATTGCTCATTTATTTTATTTGCTTTGAATGTTTAGTAGACACTTTCAAGATTATTGACTCGTTTCAAAGCGAGAAAAAAATCTGTACCCAAATTGCAACATTGTTTTTAACTCCTTTTTTTTTATTATCTTGTAGCAATCAAATTTTATTGATGTTTCTCTCATCTCAAAACACAAGTTTCTTATAGAGGTCATCTGATAATATTTATAAAAATTATTATAATATTATTTTTAATTTTCTTAATTAAATATTTATTTTTATAAATTATTTTAAAATTATTTAGATTGGAAAATTTATTTTCTTTGCTTGAGACGAATTTTTCCATTTTCTATATATATATATATGAAAAGGATAATAAAAATGAAATTCTGCTGATTCTTTTACTGCCAAAGGTAGCGATCGTTGTAATACTGAAATGAGGGAGTGAGTTGAGCGCATAGAAGGATTAGCTTTCGTTTTAAGACATAAAAGTTCGCATTCTTCTTTTGTCTGGGTCGTTGGAGTTGAAGTCGTAATTCGCGAATCCCACAGACATAAAATAGATTCTTACCTATAAAAATGCCCTTGCCTCTGAGTGGTACTTTTAAACTTTTTTTATCTGCTCGATTTTTAGAAAAAAAAGTCAGAAAAGTTTTAACAAAATTTTAAAACATTTTTTAATTACACTTTTTAGTTTTCTAAAATATGTTTACATGTTCTGAAAAATTGAGAAATATATACTTGCAAAGATTGATTTTTTTGTTTCTGTTTGCAAATATAGAAAATTAAGGAAATTTCATGTCTCGCTCCAGTAAATGATATATACCGGAAATTAGAAATCTTGGTAAATTTGCTACGGTCAAAACTGACGTAAAATCTGCCCATTACGTATACCGGAAGTATGTTGAGCTTAGTTGAACGAATTTTGGCAGAGATTACACTGTTTTCCTCCATGTTTTCTTGGAGCAAAAGTAAATCTTCGCTTTATTCCATCAAAATCCCGCAGATTGAGATTCGAACACGTAACTATATACTTGTAATGGTTGCCAACACTATAAAGAAATGAATTTACGAGATTTGCAGCCCTTTACCGTCTTCTCGTTAAAATATTTTAAAGATTTATATTTCTAAATTTAATTTGACTTTTAAGAACTAAATTTTTTGTATTTTTATAATTTTACTATTTCATATTTTAATGTTAATCTTTGAATTATAGAATTGTTTCAACTTTTTGTAATTTGTAAAAACAAAAATTATTTTCAAAGAGATAAATAATGTAAATTTAATGAGATTTCATGTATATTAATACTTTATTATATACTTATAATATCAATGTGTTGAAAATATTTCTGAAACTGTTCCAAGTTTGACAACTTGAAAACATTCCAACTTGATGCTTCTAATTTAAAAGTCCTTAATAAACTATAACATTTTCATATTATATTGAAACAAAAATTTCTTCTAAAACAAAAATTAAAATATTTTTTTGAAAAGCGTAACAATTTTTTTCAAAAATTGATTAATTTTCCAAATTATTAATTAGTAATTAATAAACATTTTGTTGAGCGTCATGACAAATAAAGTAATTTTTATTCCGATAGGTATATATCTCTATTATATTGGCAATCCGCCAAGTTCCAACGTCGAAATCTCTCCTAACAAATCTCTTTTCTGGCAACTCTGTATATTTTTGATCAACATTGAATCTTTTACCTAATCAAGATACAAAGTATATATTTCAGTCACATTCTATTATTAACGAGTTATTTCAGTATTTTAAAGCCTTGAAACTCAATTTCGTTTATAGAAAAATCATTCCGCATAGTCATTAATTCGATTTATCGCTTTTTTATCACTTTAAAGTAATTTTAATTAAAATTCACAACATATTAATAAGACATTTAATTCTTTCAAAGATATATATATTTTCAAAAAAATTCATAACGAACCAATAAAGATTGTCGATAAGAAGGTGAAATTGAAAAAAAAAATTGTAAAACCAGATTGATTTTTGTGTCGAGTGAATGAAAAGCAATGCTTTGATGTTTAACCGGTTCTCTCTTATATATTATCAGATCATCAAAATGTTTCAAACTATGTCCCTAAATAGAAATATTGGCATTAAAAAAAGATTTAATTTGCGTTATCTGCAATTTCCTTTCATGTTGTCGGGTTAAGGTATATCATACATTTTATAGTGATTCAAAATCCTTAATCTTGTCGTCATTCCCGAGGTCGAGAGAATAATTAGTGGAGCGATGTAAAAGTGGCTCGTAAAACTGACTGAAAATGTGGGATCGCTAAATGCTTAAACAGCGATATTGTCGAGATATCAAAATTGAAAATACGGTAATTAAATCGTTTCAGGTATCCGTTGGTTATAATGTTTTCTTTTTGAAGTTAACCAAAAAAATTACAATTTTATTGAAAAAAGAAAATGTTTCTACATTATATTTATTTTATTATAATATATTTATTATAGAATTTAAGCAAACGTTCATTATTTTAATAGAAAGAATATTAAACCTTGGAAATGAGGTTTTTAAAGCCAATCAGTGCATGACAGAAAAAGTTTCATAATTGAGATGATTAAAAACATTTTTAGTGTTTGAAAGAATACATAAATAAATTGTGGTAAAAAGTTTTATAATTAGTAGCATAAATTTCTTTTTTTTAAAAAATAAAAACAATGATGAAAATATTGACCAAAAAAAAAATATAAATAAATAAATCTTTTCTCTATTAAAATATAGTTTATTTTTCTGAAGGATTAATATCTCGCCCCCCATCTTCAAAAAAAAAAAAAATATTTATGTCTTTTGAGGTTTTCTAAAATCCTTTTTTTATGTCTTTTGAGGTTTTCCAAAAATCATTTTTTATGTCTTTTGAGGTTTTCCAAAAACCATTTTTTATGCCATTTGAAGTTTTACAAAAAACAATTTTTATGTCTTTTTGAGAAACAATTTTACACCAAATTTCCTGTAGGGTTAATAAAAATACAAAGTAATTTTAACAACAGTATTATAATAATTTTAAATAGAAATTTTATTTACAAATACAATTTACGAAAAAATTGAATTAAGAGAGAAAATTTATAGAATTTAGAGTTAATAAATATTTCGTGGAATTTTATTCTATTTTTTAATAAAGCGTTTGGGCACGTACCAAAGTTTATTTAAAGTGTCGCGCCATTCGAGACAGTTTAACTATATATATATTTGAAACGCTGGAAACGATTTGCGGGTTTTAAAACCGCGCAACTTACGACCCTTTGACAGCGGACCAGTGACGAAGGTTCAGTTTTGCAGTAAGCAGCATCAATGTAATCAGACAGGCCGCTCAGAGAGCGAATTTAACGACTTGTCGTAAACGCGCTTCAGTTTACAGCTCGCGGAATTTTTCTTCTCCGTCTCCTCTTTGGGAGATATATATATATATACATATATGTATATATGTATGTGATGCTGAGT